GCCTTGCCACCTTTGCACTAACTTTGAACTCATAATCTTTCTGCCTCCATCTCTAGAATAGCTGGAGGTGCCATCAAGAATGGCTTTTTGTAACTTTCTTTTCTTTTCTTTTTTTTTGTCGGTCCTAGGGCTTGAACTCTGGGCTTGAGTGCTGTCCCTGTGCTCTTCAGCTCACGGCAAGTGCTCTACTGCTTGAGCCACATGCCACTTCCAGTTTTCTTAATGGTTTATTGGAGATAAGAGTCTCATGGAGTTTCCTGCCCCAGCCGGCTTTGAACCCTGATCCTCAGATCTCAGCCTTCTGAGTAGCTAGAATTACAAGTGTGAGCCAGTGGTGCCCAGCCTGTAACTTTCTTTCTTGCTTTCAAGACAGAAAATCTCTAAGCAGCTCAGGCTGGCCTTGCATTTCCCTACCTTAATCTCAGTGTCAAGTGTTTGTATTACAGGAATGGCCATCACACTCAGATCCATTTGTATGTCTTTTTTTTCCCCTGAAAAATGTCTTTTTTTTTTTTTTTTCTTAGTGCTGAAGACTGAAGTCAAGCATTGTACTTACTAGGCAAGTCCTCTTCCACTGAGCTAAATTCTCAACCCCTTGGGAAAAAAATGGCTGTGTAGAGGGTCTTAGCCCATTTAAAAGTACTTATTTTAAGTTTGTTTTTTTTTTCTGGGTCCGGTCGTGGGGCCTGAACTCTGGGCCTGGGCGCTGTCCCTCAGCTCTTCAGCTCAAGGCTAGCGCTCTACCACTTGAGCCACAGCGCCACTTCCGGCTTTTTTCTTTTTGCTTATGTGGTGCTGGGGAATCGAACCCAGGGGCTCATGCATGCAAGGCAAGCGCTCTACCACTGAGCCACCTTCCCAGCCCCCAAATAGTTATTTTTATTAATTACTTGTACAAGGAGTTTCAGTTCCAGAAGACAGGTTATGCATCTAGGTCAGTGTTACCTTTTCCATTGTTTTCTGCCATTTTTCCCCACCCATCCCTACCCTTGTTACATAGCTCAAGTTTTACATAGTGTACATTGAATATTAGGACTGTATTTGTTCATCTTTCGTCCTTCCATTCCTATGCCCCCTCCTCACTGATCTCCCTCCTCCCCACAGAGCATGTTTCAACTTGCTGGTATTCATTTTGTTAAACTGTTTATTAGTTGTCCAGAGGAGTCACATCATTGAACTCCTCCCCTAAGTATACCGTCCATTCGTTTGTGCATGTGTCTATGCATAAAATCTGTAAACTTTATCATGTATGTTTGTATTTTAGATCTAGCTTCCATATATGAGAGAAAACAGGTACCATTTGTCTCTCTGAGCCTGACTTACTTCATTTAACATAATTTTTCCCCTGGGTCTATCCATTCCCCTGCAAATGACATAATCATTCTTTTTGATGGATGAGTACAATTCCATGTATAACTACCACATTGTTTTGATCCACTCATCCACTGTAGGGCATCTGGGCTGTTTCTATCACTTGACTATTGTGAATAGTGCAGCAGTGAACATGGATATGCAAGTGTCTATACTGTGTCCTGACTTGTAATGATTTCAGTAGATGCAGAAGAGTGGTATGATTGGATCTATGTTCTGGGCTTAGTTTTTGGAGGAACCTTGCAACCCTATCCAGAGTGGTTGTGCTAGTTTACATTCCCTTCAGCAGTGCAACAGGGTTCCTTTTTCCCCACATCCCCACCAGCATTTGTTGTTGCTTGAATTTCTCATGCTGGCCAATTTTACTGGAGTGAGATGGAATCTCAGTGTTGTTTTAATTTGCATTTCCTTTTGTTGAGCATTTCATCATGTGTTTATTTGCCATTCTTCTGAGAAGTCTCTGTTAAGTTCCTTTGCTTATTTATTAGTTGAGTTATTTTATTAGTGTTTTTGAGCTCCTTGTATATTTTGGGTATTGGCCTTTGTTGTATATATAGCTGGTAAAGATCTCCCATTCTATAGGCTGCCTTTTTACTTTAGTAACTATGTCCTAACTGTGCAGAAACCTTTTAGTTTGGTATAATCCCATTTGTCAGTTTTTGCCAACTTGCTGAGCCTCTGAAACTGGACTTAGAAAGTTCCTGCCTATGCTGATAAGTTCTAGTGTTTTTTCTCCTTCTTGTAGTACTTTTTTAAGATTTCAGCTCTGATGTTGAGGTCTCTTTTAAATTGGATGGTTTTCTTACTAATGTGTTGAATTCCCTATGTATTTTGGATATCAACCCCTTATCAGATGTATGTCTTCAAATACTCTCTCCTAGTCTATTGGTTTTCTCTTCAGTCTTCGCGATTTCCTTCTCTGTACAGAAGCTTTTTTTTTGGTTCCAGTTCTGGGGCTTGAACTCTGGGCCTGGATGCTCCCCCTGAGCTCCATTTGCTCAAAGCTAGTGCTCTACCACTTGAGCCACTGTGTCATTTACAGCTTTTTCTGTGATTAATTGGAGAAAAAGAGTCTCATGGACTTTCCTGCCCATGCTGGCTTCAAACCACAACCCTCAGATCTCAGCCTCCTGAATAGTTAGGATTACAGGTGTGAGCCACTAGCACCTAGTTTGTGCAGAATTGTTTTAATTTGGAGCAGTCTCATTTATCTGTTATTGTTGTTTTTGTGTTTGGGGAATATCTAAAAAAATTATTGGGTAGACCAACAACAAGAACTTTTTTCCTGGTTTTTTTTTTTTTTTTTGTTTCTGGTAGTTGCACAGTTTCAGTTTTTATGTTCAAATCTTTTATCCATTTTGAGTTGATGTTTGCCTGCGGGGTGAGATTAGGGACTGCTTTTAATTGGCTGTGTGCGGGTACCCCCCTTGTCCCAACACCATGTATTGGAGAGTCTAGCCTTTTCCTGTTGTGTGTCCTTGGCACTGTTGTTGATGAATTGACTATAAGTATGTGGATTTATTTCTAAGCTTTCTGTTTTGTTCTATTGGTCTTTTTTTCTTTTTCTGAGTACCATGATGTTTTGATTGCTATAGCTTTGAAGTGTTTTTGATATCAGATAGTTCAGTATCTTTAACTTTTTGTTCAAGGCTACTTTTGCCTTTTTGAGGTCTTCTGGAGTTCTATATGAATTTTTTTTCACTTTTTTTTTCTGGTGAAAACAGCATTGGAATTTCAATAGGGATTACTTTGAGTTTGTATACTGCTTTGGGAAAAGTAGACATTTAAACAGTATGAATTCTTCCAAATCATAAGTACAAGTTATCTTTCCATTTGGGTCTTATTCAGTTTCTTTACCAAAAATTATAAAAGGAGGTAGGTTCTGATGGCTTGTGCCAGTAATCCTAGCTACTCAGGAAACAGGTCTGAGGATTGAGGTTCAAAGATAGCCTGACAGGAAAGTCTGTAATACTCATCTCCAGTTAACCACTCAAAAACCAGAAGTGGAACTGGAGCTATGTGGTAGAGCACTAGCACTAGCCTTAAGCAAAAGAGCTCAGGGACATGGGGCTGGGAAGGTGGCTCAGTGGTAGAATGCTTGCCTAGCAAGCATGAAGCCCTGGGTTCGATTCCTCAGTACCACATAAACAGAAAAAGCCCAAAGTGGTACTGTGACTCAAGTGGTAGAGTGCTAGCCTTGAGCACAGAGAGGCTCAGAGACAGAGCCTAGGCCTGAGTTCAAGCCCCAGGACTGGAAAAAAAAAAAAAAAGAGCTCAGGGCCCAGCCTCGGAGTTCAAGCCCCATGATCTCCATCACCAACAACAAAAATTATAAAAGGAGAAAAGAACAAGATCTGAATCCTCCCCCAGGGCTGCTGGCTTTAGGTTTCTCTTTTTTCCATCTACCTAATGTGCCTTCTCTCTTTTCTTCTTTAGAGTGGGCTTTTAGTGCTGGGAGTCAAATAGAGTTACTCTGAGAAATGCTTGGCCAGCAAGCTCTGTTCTTGCCCTGAATATTACAGAGAGGCAGGAAAAGGGATTTGGAGTTTCACTGAGGACCCTGTGCTGTGGTGGGAGGGCAAGTGGGAAGGAGAAGGTGGAGGAGAGAGAGCTAGCAATGGATGTAATCCCCTCCCCCACCATCCCAGGGCAGAAGGAAGAAGGCTGGCCTGGGTTTTAGATCAGTAATCTTTTCAATGAAAAGGCAGTTTCCTTTTAATCTCAGTTTCTGATTTTTTTTTTAAGCCATTGGGAATGTTCTTTTTGGATGTATTTACTTATTTTTGAGCTAGCCTGGAGCTATGTATTCCAGGCTAGCCATCCTCCTGGGATTACTAGTATGAACTATCAAGCCTAACCTTTGTATTACCTTTCAGGCAATGATAGGATTTTTCCTATTTTATGTTTGTAGATTTATTTTATCCCAGCATTGCATTTCTTCTTCAGTGCTGTGTAGATTTGATAAGAATGTTTGTGGTTTAATCAGAGTATCTGGAGTATGGTGAATTAGATTTTTATTTTCTTAGGCTGTCCTTTTCTCTTTCATTTTTGTTTTTACTTTTTTGGTACCACTACTAGGTTGGAGCCTGGACTTGGTCCCTTAGCTTTATCACACAAGGCTGGTGTTCTACCACTTAAACCTGCCTCTACTTCTGGCTTTTGTTCTTTTTCCTGGTGAAATAGAGATAAGAGTCTCACAGATTTTGTTGCCTGGTATGGTTTTGCAGCTAGGGTTACAGATGTGAGCCACCAAACCTGGCTGTTTGTATCATTCATATATATATATATTTTTTTTAATTTATTTTTTTTGCCACTTTTGGATAGACTGAAGATATACAAGCCCTCTTTTCCTGCAGTGGGGAGCATTTGCTGAATTATGGGGAAAGAGATGGGACCAAATGGGCCCAGCAGAAGCAATGGGTGTGGCTTTGACATAAGTGTGTGAGGTTGGTGGAAACTCAGTGTTTGGCCTCCACAAATGAGCTGTAACCGGCAGTCAGCACTGGGGTGCTGTACTGAAACAGTAATACTCTGATTGCCCCTCCTCCCCCCATTCAAAGGCCTGGGCAACAGCGTTGATAGACAAGAAGTAGTAACCTAACTAATCCCTGTATCTTTATCTTGCTTTGAAGGACTCAACATATGTACCAGCGGAAGTGCCACCTCTTGCGAAGAATGTCTGCTAATCCATCCAAAATGTGCCTGGTGCTCCAAAGAGGTATGTGTGTGTTTGGGGGGAGAGGGGGGTGAGAAAGGAGGTGGGGGGAGGGTGCTATGGGATTGGGGTGGGGAGTGGCCCATACCACAGCATACAGATTTCACCATGTGTAAAAAGTGTGCAGAGCTGGCACCAGTGACTGAAGCCTGCAATCCTAGCCACTCAGGAGGCTGAGAGCTGAAAATTGTGGTTCAAAAGCAGCCTGGGCAGGAAAATCTATGAGACTCTTACCTCCAGTTAACCATTAAAAAGCCAGAAAGTGGAGCTGTGGCTCAAGTTGTAGAGCTAGAGCCTTGAGCAGAAAAACTCAGGGACAGCACCCAGGCCCTGAGTTTAAGCTTCAGAACAGGTATAGCAACAACAAACAAATAAATAAATAGAAAAAAGAATGACATGTACAGATTCCACAGCTGCATCCAAGATGAAGACAAATGCAAGTTTATAATAAGTTGCGTCTCTTCCTGCGTCATGAGACATGCACTTTATTCCTGAGTTACATTTTAGCTCACAGGCTGGGTCACTCAGTTGTGTTGGATGTTAGTCATATTTTGGGGCGAGTAGAGCTTTCCTCCCTTTTTTAGTGGGAACTGATTAGGACTCTCCCCATAGTTTCTGATCTTTGGATAAGATCAGAAGACCTGAACTTGTGAAGTGAAGTGTGTTTGCCACATAACAAATCAGAGCGTGTCTTGGATGGGTGGCATTGAAGTAAAGTCATGACTGTTTTTAAAGGACATAAGAAAATCGTTGATTCTGAGCCAAATATGAGTGATGATGGATACGGGGCATGGATCCAGGTTGCTGTGAATGACAAGGTCTACTGTGGAACATTAACTTTTAGGAGCCACAGAACAAAGGTCATAAATCAATCTGGTTGCATTGGTGGGAGGATCAGGGAGGCCAGCCAGGTTACAGCAATGTGGGAAAGGTTCCATATGGTTTAGATGTTACAGCAATTACAGCTTTAGGGCTGGTAGAGGCTAGGTCTACTGAGATTAGGAGTGATGCGCTGAGAAGTTAGTTATGAGAATGTTAGTTCAAATACAAAAGAGAAGGTAAATATTTACAAAGAGGTCCAAGTTAGCCCAAGATAATTTTGGTTCTCTATCTTCCCATACTCCTGATGTTTTGGTACATCTGTAGAATCTTTGTAACATAGATGATGTTCTTCAGAGACTTAGAGTGGCTTATTCTAGAATTATTTGTAGGAATTGGCCTTTGGGATGGAATGATTTTATTTAATAAGAATCGCTGTAGTGGTTATGGTGATACTCTCTTTATAATCCTAGCACTTGAAAAATAGAGACAGGAGGATCTTGAGTTTAAGTCCAGTCTGGGATATATAGCTAGCTAGGCCCTGTCCAAAAACAAACAACCCCCTAAACAAATAAACACATGGCTGGCATTTCTTTAAGCCCTGTAGGAAAGGGTACAAATGTGAGGTGCTGGTAGGCAGGCTACAACCAGAAAGCAACACATATACTAGGGCTTGCTTGATAGCTTAACCAGGAAATGATCAGTTTCTAAGTTGCTGGTCTTAAATAAAGTATTTTTAGATTAATGTATATTGATTGCATAGCAGGATTTTATTATAATTTTAATGCATGTATATAATATACTTTGATTAACTTCACTCCCTCTAGTACTCTCTTTGTCTCTCTTTTAAAACAGTTTTTAATTGGTTTTGTTATTCAGTGTTCACAATACATCTGCAGTCTTTTGATCATATTTACTCTCCCCCTCACCTTTCCTTTCACCTTCCCACCCTGGAACGGTGTCATTCTATACTGCTATTGCTCATTTTCTAAGGCTTAGATTTTGTATATTAGAACATGTGATATTTATCTTTTGAATCTGACTTATTTAACATGTTGATCTCCAGTTCTATCCATTTTCCTACAAATGACATAATTTCATAATATGGTGGGGCCGGGCGCTGGTGGCTCACGCCTGTAATCCTAGCTACTCAGGAGGCTGAGATCTGAGGATCACGGTTCAAAGCCAGCTCGGGCAGGAAAGACTGTGAGACTCCTATCTCCAATAAATCACCAGAAAACCGGAAGTGGCACTGTAGCTCAAGTGGTAGAGTGCTTGCCTTGAGCTGAAGAGCTGAAGGACAGCGCCCAGGCCCAGAGTTCAAGCCCCAGGACCAACAACAAAAAAATAAAATTAAAAAAAATAATATGGTGGGTGGGGGGGAGAGAGAGAGAGAGAGGAAGAAGAAGAGGAGGATGAGGAAGAAGAAGAGGGGGATAGTAGGGGAGGAGAGGAGAGAGATATACAGGTGTATACCACCTCATCCAGACATTGTACTTGCCCTGTAGGTGAGATAACAGATGTGAGTCAGATGTAGCCTTGAACCATGATCTTCTGATCTCTTGTCTCCCTCCTGTAAGGTCTGCCTGGGCCTTGCAGGCCATGTGCAGACACCTCCCTACCTCTTGCCTAAATTTCTACCCAGTATGTTAACCTAGGTAACTGGCACACCTGGGAGCAGTCACCTTCCCCTCCTGCTAGGTTACATTCTGGGCCACCTCTGCTCACATGCCTTCCATCTGACCTTGGGAGGATCCCAGACCCTGAGGTCACATCTGGATCCAGTGTGGCCATACCTTTCCCCCACCTGGCCACACTTCTTCCTGTCTCTGGCCTAGATTAGTCCTAGCCTGGGATGGGTCACCCCTTTTATCAGCCATGCCTCTCCACCATGCAAGGTAGGGGCAGCAGTTCGGTAAATAAACTTCTTTTTTTGCCTGAATAGCATGTGGTGTTCTCTTCATCGGCTACCTAATTAAACCTACCTACTTAATATACCTTCTACCTCCCAAGTAGCTATGTTTGTGGCACTGTGGCTGGCTCTTTGGATTTTTCAATTTATTTAGCTGTTGATTTATATTCATTGAGGCATTATACATGTCTTCTTTAATTTCATTGGACATTCTTATCATTCTTTTGCATTTGGCATTTGAGCTCTTCCTCACTTTACTATCATTTAAATCCTTGTCGTGAGATTACTGTTTTTTCTGAGGTGTCATGTTGACTAGTGTTTTTTTTTCATTATTTCTGTATTGAAATTTATTATATCTGAAGTCCACTTGCTGGCATGTTAATCACCTGCAATTTGCCTGTTTTCACTGTATTTGATGCCAGTTGTATTACTCTTTATGTTCTGGCAGGTGTGGGCATTGCAGGACAGATGTGCATTTCTTGCCACTGGCCTGGGAAGCTGGCATTTGGAGGGTCTTTAATGTCCCTGCTCTGTAACTTGTTCCAACTTGAAGATCCACCTCAGGTTTGATACTGAAGGGGCCCTCATGCACGAGAGCCTGCGGAGCAGCTTCCAAGCACCTTGCCTATACTTCCTGTCTTCAGGGAAACTTCTCAGTTACTTTGGACTTCTGTTACTACAACCATGAAACACAAACCCTCCCTGCACTAGTGCACCATTGGGGTTATTTGTAAAAGAAGCAAAGACAAGCCAGGTGTCAATGGCTCATGCCTGTAATCCTACTCAGGAGGCTAAGGTCGGAGGATTTCACAGCAAAGCCAACCGAAAGGAAAGACGATGATCGCCAGTTAACTAGTAAAAAGCTGGAAGTGGAGATGTGGCTCAAGTGGTAGGGAGAATGCCAGCCTTGAGAGAAAAAGCTCAGGGATAGCACCCAGGTCCTGAGATCAATCCCCAGTACTGGCACAAAAAAGAAAAAAAGGAGGAGGGAGGAGCCAGGGGGAAGAAGAGGAGGCTGAGGATGCTGCAGCAGCAAAGATTTGCAGTTTTGAACTTGCTCAGTCTTTGTTGGATGGCATCTGCTCCCTGCAAGGAAGACTAAGAGCTGGCCTGGGGGCCTGGGTTCTGTTTTCCTTTGTGGCAGCCTTCGAGGGTCAGCGATTGCTTCAAGCGACAATGTCTAAGTGTAGGAACTCCTGTAGAGCCCCGTGTATTGTACATGCAGTGTCTTGAATCCCACTAGCAGCCCTGTCTGGTAGGTGGTAATGCTCCTGCTTCAGAGAGGTAGAGTGATGTGTTCAAAGTCAGCCACCTGTTCAAAGCTGGGGCTTTGATATGCCTGTCTGGGCTGCTGAGGGTAGGCCCTTTCTTTTAGGTAAGTTGCTTCTTACCATATGGGCTCTCTTGAAGGAGTCAAGATATTTTGGACAAGTAACTTTGGAAGAGGAATCTCCTCTTTCAACGTATAATGTATAAACCCTGAATTGCAGTGCCTTTGTTAGGATTTTTTTTTGTCAGTTGTGGGGCTTGAACTCAGGGAGCCTTGGCACTGTCCCTGAGCTCTAGCACTGTAGTACAGCTTCACTTACTTTTTTAAAAAAATATTTTATTGTAAAGATACTGTACAGAGGGATTACAGTTGCATGAGTAAGGTAATGAGTACATTGAGTATTGTTACCCCCTCCTTTGTTTTTCCCCAGCCATCTCTTCCCTCCCACACCTTCCCAACTCCTTCCTCCCTCCTCCCCTGCAAGTTGTAGAGTTCATTTTCAATATAGTGTCTTGTACATCTCATTATTACAGTGGGTCAGCCTGTATCCTTGTTTCAGTATTTTGTTATTTCCCTGCCCCTCCCCAAATTAGTAAAATGTATATACAAGATGCAGGGCACCGAAATCAAATACAGTGAAAACAGGCGTTATATCATGGTCACTTATGGTTTTTGAATGGTTAATTGGAGATAAGATTCTCTTGGAGGGCTGGGCATGTGGCTAAGTGGTAGAGTGCTTGCCTATCATGCGTGAAGCCCTGGGTTTGATTCCTCAGTACCACATAAACAGAAAAAGTGGGAAGTGGCTCTGTGGCTCAAGTGGAGAGTGCTAGCCTTGAGCAAAAGAAGTTCAGGGACAGTGCCCAGGTCCTGAGTTCAAGCCCCAGAACTGGCAAAAAAAAAAAAAATCTCATGGGAATTTTTTTGCTCCAGGATTACAGGTGGGAGCCACTGGTGCCCAGCTGTTATTTGTTTTGTTTTTGGCGCTGAGGCCCTTGTGCA